GTGGGCTTTCGGACTAGTGGGTTTTCGGACTTGTGGGCTTTCGGACTATTGGGCCGTCGGACTAGCGAGCTGTAACCGCACGCACGTGTACGTGCACACGCACACTTGCACGCCCGCACGTGTACGTATGCACGCACGCACGCACGTGTACGTGCACACGCACACACGCACGCACGCACGTGTACGTACACACGCACGCACGCACGTGTACGTGTCGCTGCTTTCATGAGTGTTGAACGCAATCGTATGAACGAAAATGAGGACACTATCACATCCCCCAGCACTCCCGTAGACTAGACGAGCCATATGGTTTAAATACAAGAGAGGCGTCAGTTTGGTTCCTATGGTATGTATCGCACAGTGTGATTGGTTTATGCTAGGCACGCCCTTCAACAGCCAGCAGTCACGCTGGCGTAGTGGATTTACACTGGAATTCATCAACATTTGCGTACGCAGGTGCTACGCTGCGTTGATGAATCGCACCTACGAGCTTTGCGTACGTACTTCGTAGAAACTCGGTGTACGCAATACACTTTACGCAACGTTGATGAATCCGGCCCCTGAGCGTTGTCATGGAGGAGGGCTGTTGTTTGAGTGAATACGTCCGACCATCTGGCCTCTGCTATTGCCGCACTGTTTGCTTGCTAGCAATATATAGTCTGCTTATTGATTGATCACTGGCGTTAGCTGTTTACCCCCGCGTGCGTGCGTGCGTGCGTGCGTGCGTGCGTACGTGCGAGCGTGTACGTATGTCTGGGTGCGAGCGTGTACGTATATGTCTGGGTGCGTGTCACTGCATGTGTAGGCGGCCGCGTCTTGTCCTCTGGTCGTGTGAGTGCTGACACACTCACTTAATCTGCGCTTTGATCGGAGTCGCTTCGCTGGCGCGCTAGTATTTCGGGTAGAGCTTAAATCTTGCACCGCTTGCTCGCCATTAAATCTTGCACCACCTCTCTCGTCCCGCGACAATTGCGGCCAGCAGTAGAACCTTGATTATACACGACTGCAAACCTCTCTGGCGAGTGTTATTCGTTAGTCATCTGCGAGTGGGAATCTAACGTATGTTGGCTGAGGTAGTCACGCCTTAATTGATTACTCGCTCTCCGGCTATCACTTATTTGTCCGACTGACTCGTAGCGTCGTATGATTATAGTTTCAGGTGACAAGAACACGAGTCTAGAGGTTGTCGCCATAGGAAGGATCGTTATTTACTCTGCTTGTCTGATTTGCCATTAATTATACAATCTGAAGTAAATAATAGCCTTCGCCCATGTTTACTCTCGATACAATACATCTTTTAAAGTGACCGAAGTAGAAGAGCTGTGCGATTGTAGCTAGTAAGGTTTGCCAGCATGCGTGCGTATAGTCCGGGGGTGCGTGCGTATACTGTAATAATGACAAATGCTAAATTTGTCATTGACAAATGATAAATTTGTCATTATTAACCCCTGGTTATATACACGTGTAGAGATTGATGTACACGTGCATAGGAGCGGCTGTGCCCGTGATGCGTGACTGCCGGATCCACCACGTACGGCAGCTGTGTGCCCGTCCACTAATCATCGTTATCACGGCTGCAGTGCCTCGTGATGACGTCATAAGGCAGCCCCACGCAGCCCAGCGCACGCTTAATTTCGATAATAATAACCTCCTGCATCCTGTCAGTGTGTTCGTCTATTTTCGTTTATATTATGCAGCGAAAGTTACTTATAAACGAACACGTTTCTCACCATTATTTCATTGGAAATGTGCTGTAAAGAAATTTACAATATATATATATATATATATAAATACCTTTAAATATGTGAAAATATATATACATAATATATTTTATATATAGTAGTGCGTTTCTGTACATTCATCATAATTTGCAGTCAGCTGTCAGTGTTATTAGTGTGGATTTGCATCCATATTTTATCACCACTGCACTCCCCCCTGCCCAATAGTGCCCCTCATGGGGGTCGTACTCTTCCACCTCCCCGCTCTCGCGGCCAACACCAGGTGGCGTCCGCGCCGTCCACCCTCCTCGCCTCTGACGACGCGTTTGTATTGTTGCAGAACGGCGCGCTGCCCTTTGGCAAGGTGGACTACATCGTTGCGTGGCTCATGCGCGAGCTCTCCGTCGTTCCCATCTTCGTGCAGGCGCTATTCGAGCCGACGATATCATGGCGGACCGGTGCGCAGGTGCGGCTGCGCTGGGGCGGCGTCGCCGAGGAGTGCAGCGGTGTGAAGAAGTGACCGTCGTCGTCGTCGTCGTCGTCGTCGTCGCGTCGCGGTGGTGGCGCCGAGCCGCGCACGGCCTCGCACGAAACTCACTCGCCATTGTGATATCTCTGTGTCCCTGTCATCGTCGTCGCAGCGTCGCAGTTTTGTGTTTGTGCGTGCGTACGTACGTTTGCATGCGCTTGTGTGCGTGCGTGCGTGCGTGTGCATGCACATAGGTGGCTGTGTATGTGTGTGTGCGTGTGCGCCTGTGCGTGCGTGCATACGTGGGTGTGTGTGCGTGTGTATGTGTGTGTATCTAACTCTCCATGTTGTGTAATGGCAACGCTCGGTGTGGGGTTCTATCCCACCGGAGCTGCATGGCTCAGTTGTAAAACACGCTTCCCATGTTATGGAATTAGTCTGTATATATATATTATATTGTTTCCTCCTCTCCGTAAGGGGTACGCAACAGTATTACATATGGTCTATAGAGGACATGAATCGTGTGTAGCCTTGCTAGACAGAAATTTTATTTCTCGATAAAGATTTTTTATTAGAAGAAACGCAACCGTCGACGTGATCATGTAATTCTGGATGAACGGTGGCTGCGTGCAAGCTCTTACGACAAGTAGGATGCGAAATTGATTAGTGGAGGTTTCTTTGTGGCAGCAGATGTTTACCTCGAAGAATTTAAGAGAATTTAGATATCACCGTCGCTGTGACAAAGCGAAGGTAGTAAAGGCCGCCGCACACCAGCCGATTTTACAAACGATGAAGCGATGAAGCGATGTAGGTGTGCGGCGGCCTTAAAATCGGCTCATCGGCTCATCGGTTCAAAATCAAACATGTTTGATTTGGAACGATCACCTGATAAAAATAAAATCGTCTACAAATGAACGCGCACACCTACCCGATATCGGCTGATTTCTATCGAGCCGATCAAATCGCGTGAAAAATCGGCTGGTGTGCGGCGGCCTTAACGTAGTGTTTCAGCGATGGGCCATTGAATCGACGGGCAGCAATGGTATGCAAAATTATTACTCTAACGACATGCAAAGATCTTCTTGGTGTCGAGTGAGAGAGAGAGAGAGAAAGAAAGAGAGAGAGAGAAAGAAAGAGAGAGAGAGAAACCACACGCACGCACCGCACGCACGCACGCCGCACGCACGCACGCACACACACAACACACACACGTGCACACCAACACACGCACCGCTACGCCACGCACGCACGCACGCACGCACACGCGACGGGACTCCGCACGGATCTGTCGCACGAAGAATTCGAGACTAGAACGACGAACGACGGGATGTTCAAGTGAACACACACCCCAGCTGAACAATCGACAGCAGTCGTTAACTATCGTTGCTTCGGAGCGGTTCCCACACAGCGAGTGCCGCACACAAACCGGCGCTGTCGATTGTGGGTGGCCGAAAACAGAGTAAGGAGACGATAAGCAGAGAGGAGCAACAGGTCGTGTGTGAAACTAACGACATGGCATAGTGAGAGGCCTACCACAACAGTTGTCTCATGATCACGCACCACGCACCGCACGCATGCACCGCACACACCACACTTTCTGTTCTCTCGCTCTATTTCTCTCTCCACTCTCTCTCTCTCTCTCTATCTCTGTCTCTGTCTCTCTCGCTCTCTTTCTATCTCCATCTCATTCTCTCTCCCGCCCTCTTCTCTCTTCTCTATCTCTCTC